TAAATATAATAGTAAATAAAACTAGTATTAAATTATATATCTGCTTTCTAATCTACAAACGATGTGTTTATTTATTTGTTTGTTTATTTATTTTTTTATTTTTATTTTTTTATTCATATATCATCATTTATAATCTGCCGTAACATGAAAATAATTATTGATTTATCAGTGTTGGTCAGAATTTCAATATCGGTTCATCCCTTTTCTTAACTCTAGGCCAAACTAGTATGAATCTTGTTGAGTGTGACCTCCTGCTGAGTTTAAGAACAATGTCTTCTTGAAGAGGTTGGAGATGAAGATGTTGCTCCAATGTTTCACACTTACCAGAGCTCCAGGAGTGCCGGGGGTACCTGGAATACCCTGAAGAACAGAAAAAAAACAACAACAAGAAAAGGACACTATTTGTTAAAAAACAATAAGTAAGTCAGTGAGACAGGACAGAGGTGTTGACATAAGAAAATCTCTAATGAGCAGCTCCTGCCTTCCTGAAAAAAATAATAAACCCTTAATGAGCTGCCTGAGACGAAAGAAGGCCAAAGACGAAGTGCTTCATTAGCTTGTGTTGAAGACTGAGCTGCTGAAGTCTAAGGAATGGCTCTAATGGAGATTTACACCTGATTTTCAGCACAGGAAAAACTCTGGACTATAGATGATGACAATTCAGACTGTACCAACTGATAATCATTTTGATTTGAAGATCAATACATCGAATTAATAGGAAAACCTAATTATGTTACAACTGTTGACATACAGTGTGTCACCATACTGTATTTCCTATTTTTCCAAAATAAATAAAAAGAAAATAAATTAACAATTAATTAATATTTAACATAATTAACCATTATAATTAATAATAAATTAATACTAAATAAAACAAAAATAATATATTAAGTTAAATAAATAAATGACCATTTTTAAATAATATGCACCAGATAGCCAGTGAACATGTCAAGACTACTTTAAAAATGATTTTTTTTTTAATGAGCAGAAAGACTTGCATCTCTCCCGTCTCTGCCAGGTTCTCCATGAGGTCCACGAGGCCCCTCAGGACCCTCAGGACCGGGGGGACCAGGGATCGGCTTGGGATCTGGCTGTAGAAGGTTGAAGGAGCAAAAGAAGGAAAACGATGAGTAAACAAAAACATGAATTGATTTTATTATTTGCTTTAGCCAAATATAACCAATGTTTTTCACTGAACGTCAAAATCAATAACTGGAAGCGTTGCAAATAATCTCTCTCTACCAAGGACCTTAACAAATTACTTTAACACAATAAGGAATAAAATATCAATCATTAGCTCTCCGCTGCCAGATTCTCCTTATTAGCTCAATCTTTAAATGAGCCAAGTAACAACAAACTTATACAAGAAAATAACTTGTAGGGTTAAGAAAAATTCCCAGAGAATTTCTTAATAAAATAACACATTATTTACTTTGCGGCATTAATAACCTCTAGCATATAAATACATAAAAGCTGTTCTGGGTCATGTTTTGCTGATTGAAGTAAGTATAGCAGGTGGCAAATGAGTCAATTCAGCAACAAAGCAATGTAGTAGATTATTTGCTAAAATAATTTATTAATAGATTAAAAAAAAAGAAAAACAAAGTAAAAAAAAAAATCAAATACCTCAGCATTGGCATACATCTGAAGAAGCAAGAGAGAGAGAGAATTAAGATTATTGCAGAGTTAGTGAAAATGAAACCCCTTCACCAGAAAGAGAAAGCACACCTGTAGATGGCGCCACAACATGCGGCCTACAAAAGCGCCCCCGCCGGCCAACTCATCAAAAAACAAAGCAAATGCATGAATTTTGACATCAATGCCAACTGTTCAGTGGCAAAGTGAGATGTTCTGAAGAAGCAAGAGAGAGAGAGAGAATTGAGATTATTGCAGTTAGTGAAAATGAAACCCCTTCACCAAAAAGAGAAAGCACACCTGTAGATGGCGCCACGACATGCGGCCTACAAAAGCGCCCCCGCCGGCCAACTCATCAAAAAACAAAGCAAATGCATGAATTTTGACATCAGTGCCAACTGTTCAGTGGCAAAGTGAGATGTTATGAGGTCTTTTGAGGCTTTTCCAGACTGCCACAGCAATAATATATCAATCTTTTTAGGCCATACATCAGTTATGCAGCACATGTATTAGAATGAGAGTAATATTGTTGATCATTTATTCAGAACTGTGAATAAAGTCTTAAATTGTACAATTGTATTTACAGTTATTTACAAAAATTAAATGGGTTGGTTCATCCAAAAATGAAAATTCTGTCCATTGCTCACCCTCGAGTTGTTCCAAACCTGTATTAGTTTCTTTCTTCTGTTAAGCACAAAAGATGATATTTTGACAAATGTCGGTAACCAAACAGGTAACCACTGACTTCCACAGTATGGAAAAAAAAAACTATGGAAGTCAATGACTACCATCAACTGTTTGGTTACCAACGTTCTTCAAAATATCTTCTTTTGTGTTCAACTGAAGAAAGAAACTGGGTGAACTATAATAATAAATAATAATAATAATTCATTACATTTATATAGCGCTTTTCTAGGCACTCAAAGCGCTTCACATTGTCAGGGGGTATCTCCTCATCCACCACCAGTGTGCAGCATCCACCTGGATGATGCGACGGCAGCCATAGTGTGCCAGAATGCCCACCACACACCACACACCAGCTTACTGGTGGAGAGGAGACAGGGTGATGAAGCCAATCAGTAGATATGGGGATTGTTAGGAGGCCATAATGATCAGAGGCCAATGGGCAAATTTGGCCAAGATGCCAGGGTTACAACTCTACTCTTTTCGAAAGACATCCTGGGATTTTTAATGACCACAGAGAGTCAGGACCTCTGTTTATCGTCTCATCCGAAGGACGGTGCTTGTTGACAGTATAGAGTCCCTATCACTACACTGGGGCGTTAGGACCCACACAGACGACAGGGTGAGCACCCCCTGCTGGCATCACTAACACCTCTTCCAGCAGCAACCTAGTTTTCCCAGGAGGTCTCCCATCCAGGTACTGACCAGGCTCAGCCCTGCTTAGCTTCAGTGGGTAACCAGTCTCGGGCTGCAGGGTGATACGGCTATCCCTTTAAAACCAGCCTAAGGTGGTTTGATGATCTTAGCTGACATGGTTTGATAGTTTTAGTGGAGTTTTGGGTGCTTGCTGATGAGGATAGGAGACCAACAAACCACTTTTTAACACTTTCAGCAGGTAACTGACCTGATTTCTCCATAATTGAGTGGTTAAACATAACAAAAAGAGACTGTGATTGGTCAGATTCTCATTTAAGACAAAACAGGAAGTGATAAAAGGCATAGTTACCTCAGACTGAGGAAGTTCGGTACAGCTTTCTCTCTGAGCTCTCTTTGGGTCACAGTGAATCAGCATCCACTGCAACTCAAACTGGAAAAACACAAACCAATGAAGTTATTTCTTTATTTGACTATATATAAACATATCCTAAACCGCAAGGCTTTTATGTTTTACATGTATCAGAATTAGGTTTTCAGTTTTAAATCATTGTAAGTTTGACTGACAGCACTATCAGACTTATTTGTATCTGTCCTTTGGACAGGAAGTGACAAGGTGCTGAGGTCCAGCAATCTGGCAGTTACATTGACTGATGGTAACACATATCAGACAGTGTGACAGTTACACAGACTGACAGTCGCATTTATCACAGGTAGTGACTGTAACAGGATGTGATGGATTTGATAGGTGCAGGGTGACAGTAACATTCATCAATTACAGTATAGATCCACTGCAAAACCTAATCAAAACACAAAAGAATTAACCCTTCCAAAACTTGAATCTTAGAAAGAATTAAGCCTTCTAAAGAATTAACCATTCCAAAATTTCAATATTAGAATTAACCCTCCCAAAACTTCAATCTTTAAAAAATAACACTTTCAAAAGAAGAATGAACCCTTTCAAAAAATGACATTCTTAGAAAGTATGAACCCTTTCAAAGAATTAACCTTTCCAAAATTTCAATCTTAGAATGAATCATTCCAAAACTTTAATCTTAGAAAAAACTAACGCTTCCAAAGAAAGAATGAACCCTTCCAAAACTTCAATCAGAGAATTAACCCTTCCAAAATTTGAATCTCAGAAATAATTAACCCTTCCAAAACTTCAATCTTAGAAATAATTAACCCTTCCAAAACGTCAATCTTAGAAAGAATTAAGCCTTCCAAAACGTCAATCTTTAAAAAATAACACTTTCAAAAGAATTAACCCTTTCAAAAATGTAAATGTTAGAATGTATGAACCCTTTCAAAGAATTAACCTTTACGACATTTCAATCTTAGAATGAATCATTCCAAAACTTTAATCTTAGAAAAAACTAACGCTTCCAAAGAAAGGATTAACCCTTTCAAAATTTCAATCTTAGAATTAACCCTCCCAAAGCTTCAATCTTAGAAAGAATTAACCCTTCCAAAACTTCACTATTAGAAAGTAATATCTTAAACTTAAAAGGTATATATGTCTGAATGTTTTACAGGCAAATATGGCAATAAATAAATATCTAATGCAATTTTTTTTCGTACATCATCTACAGGATAATGTATTTTATTCATCTTCATTACTTTGAAATGCAAAACTTTTTAGTGCACCTTTAAGAAAGTTAAATATATACTGTATTAGTAAATATTCAAGACTGAACTGGTGACTCACCACTACAGAGGTGTTGGGATCAGAATCCAATCTTCCGATCAGAGTGTCTCCTTCCGTGTTGACATAGCCCTTCCTTTTGATGGGTTTCTGGTCCACAGGGTGACAGTCCACATACAGCGTCACCAGCTCTTTCTCCACACCAACCATCACTTTGTGCCATTTAGTGTTGAAGAGGTCAGAAAGGCCTGGGAAGGTGACGGTCTGCACATCTCCCTCCATAGTGGTGAGGAAGAACTCCAGGGCCTGCTGGTCTCCATTCAGACGCATACCTGCCTGCTTTAAACCGTCTTCCTCCACTACCTGCCAGATGTTCCACACCTTGTTGACAGTGTTCTTGATCATGCGGAAGGTGGTCATGAAGGAGTACTCATCTGGGAAGCCCCTTGGAAAGTTCAGCCTGGTGGGCAACAAATATTGATATACGTTGAATATGTGTCTCTGCCTTATATTTCACAAATGAATTGCAAGCAGCAATCAATATACTGTTAGCTATCTATCTGTTGTCTACTGTTAGATACAAAAATAATGTGTACTGTTAAACTAAATGTAATGTAAACTTAACTAAATGTTAATTGTGTACTGTTATCTGTTATAAAAAGTCAATTTTAAAGTAACTAATATATATTTTAATGCATATGCATATTGAGTATGAATATGGTGTGAAGACAGGTGGTTTTAGTGAAATAAAATAAAAGAATAAAATAATGAAAAAGAATAATAAAAGAGCAAAAATATAATAAAAGAGTGAAATAAAACTAATTTAAAGAAATGGTGCATTTGTGTTAAAAACATTCTAGCGATTTTAAAGTTTTAAATATATATTTTATTTTATATGAATGTTGAGTTAAAATGTGCAAGTGGTTTTAGTGCAAGTTAAAATAAATAAAATAAAATAACAAAATAAACAGTGTGAAATAAATAAAAGATTAAATAAAGAGAAAATTAAATGAAATGGTACATTTGTACTTTCTAGTGATGAAAAACAAGGTTCTGAAACCTGTTTTACATTTTTAAATACATATATTAATCTAAATGGATATTGAGTTATGGTCCATGGCCGGGTGGTTTTAGTGAAATTAAATGAAATAAAAGAGAGTGAAATAAATAAAATATATAATAAAGAGAAAATTATACGAAATTGTACATTTGTGGTAAGAACATTCCAGTGATGAAAAAACAAGGTTCTGAAACCTGTTTTAAATTTTTAAATATATATTTTAATTTAAATACATATTGAGTTACGGTCTGTGGCTGGGTGGTTTTAGTGAAATAAATAAATAAATAAATTATACAAAATATACAAAGTAAAATAAAATAAAGAGTGAAATAAAAGATAAAAGGTAAAAAAAATTAAATAAATAGAAAATGTGATGAAATGGTACATTTGTGTTACAAACATTCTAGTGATTAAATTCAAATGAGAAAAACTGTCCATTTTACAAACTAATAGCAGGTAAAATTGTGGAGCATTTCTCAAGAATTGCAAGAATTGCAAAATGTAATGTAAAAGCTTATGCTATAACGTTGCATTAATAGGTTTCTTAAAAAGAAAGTGCTTCTGCAAATTCATAATGAAGTTACATTCTTGTCACGAAGCACATCTATTTATAATAGGGGTCTATTACCGCTAAGAATAGTAATTCACCTCCATTATTGTCTGATCATCAAGGGAATAGCCCTGCATTATGCACAGAGAGCAGCTCGGCTTCAAGTTGCTCTGAGATAAAATTATGAATGCCAAACAGATCAGAGCCAAGTGCACTTTCATCTTCAAAGCCTGTGTGTTGTCCGTGAGTTATTTCAAAGGGACGGTGCTGGCTTTCATTGCACGGTGTTAAAGAATCAGAAGCCGGGCCGCAGGCAGAGACAGAACACCACAGCATCTGAGAATCAATTACCTTGTCCGGTTTTACACACACCCTCTCCGGGGCTTGACCCGTGTGGCATTTTAACGGGCAGACGCGCTCTGTGGGAGATGCTCTTACAAATGAAGCTACAGCGCCCTTTAACCAGCTTGTAAATATGGAGCTTCCTGTTGGCTAGTAAAATAAATGAGGGCCACAGTTTGGAATAATCTCTAATCTCAAGAAATCACTTTCTTGTGTGGATTTCTTGTGATGTTTTTATCAGCTGTTTAGACTCTCATTCTGACGGCACCCATTCACTGCAGAGGATCCATTGGTGAGCAAGTGATGTAATGCTACATTTCTCCAAATCTGTTGTGATGAAGAAAAAAACTCATCTATATCTTGGAGTAACTTTTCAGCAAATTGTCATTTTTGGGTGAACTATTCCTTTAAGTACATTTTATCTGTAATAAACACTTAGAGTGTCTTTCTGCTCCTCAAATGCCAAATATTTTACTAGGCCAGAGAAATAGACCAAAAGACTTAATCAAGCTAAAACGTGTGTGTCAGTCAGTCTGGTTGTCTGGGTATGCAGTGTTCTGCTCGAGCGGATCTGCATGGGTTCAGACAAGTCTGTTTTTGCATTATTAGAAGCTGTTCAGAGCCTGATAACACCTGTCTCTGACCTGTAATAAGCAAGTAACACCTGAAAAAAAGATCATGTATGTCAACAAGGTTATGTGTGTGTGTGTGTGTGCTTATGTGACATTTCTAGCTTTAGGTCATGTAGTGCACAGATGCATATAAGATGTAAGTGAAGTTTTAAGCAGTTGTATGCATTTATATAAACATGTACTGTAACTAAAATAAAACACTCACTAAACCATGTATTAGTACCTGGTTGGGATCTGGAAGTTGGCCTCTCGGTCGAGTCTGTATGCCACCTGGAGGGGTGTGGATCCTTCTACTTTTCTGACGCCCCTCATGGGAATGACATCCAACTGAAACTGCGTGATCAGATCAAACCCTGCCACACACAAATACATATGTGACCCTGGAGCACAAAACCAGTCTTAAGTAGCTGGGGTATATTTGTAGCAATAGCCAAAAAAACATTGAATGGGTCAGAATTATTGATTTTTCTTTTATGCCAAAAATCATTAGGATATTAAGTAAAGATCATGTTCCATGAAGATATTTTGTAAATTTCCTACTGTAAATATATTAAAACTTAATTTTTGATTAGTAATATGCATTGCTAAGAACTTCATTTGGACAACTTTAAAGGCGCTTTTCTCTAAATTTGGTTTATTTGCACCCTCAGATTCCAGATTTTCAAATAGTTGTATCTCAGCCAAATATTGTTGTATCCTAACAAACATACATACATCATACAAACATACATCAATGGAAAGCTTATTTATTCAGCTTTCAGATGATGTATAAATCTCAATTTCGAAAAATTGACCCTTATGATTGGTTTTGTGGTCCAGGGTCACATATTTCAAATACTCAAACATTTTAAAGCAATAATAATGGAAATTCAATTACAATTTAGAATCAATTCGGATCAAATAAGTCTTTCAGACTGTCCAAATATGAACCAAACTTCTGTTCACATAGTGGAAAAAAAAACAATAATTCAAAATGATTTAAAAATATCAAAATATCTGATCCTAATCATTTCTGGAACAAAACAACAGAGCAGAATAGAAAAAAAAACCAAGGGAAGGGAAGGGAAGGGAAGAGAAGAGAAGAGAAGAGAAGAGAAGAGAAGAGAAGAGAAGAGAAGAGAAGAGAAGAGAACCAAAAACAGTCAAAACATCAAAATATACATTTCTGAAATAAAAAATGGCAAAATATTTTAAGATTTTAAAGCCTAACATCCTATAGTCTCAAAAATAAACAAAAATAAATAAAAAATAATAAAAAAGGAGACTACAATTTAAAAAAATAAAACAAATTAAAAATGAGAAATTCATGCAATACAATATTTATAGCAACCTTAATATGCATTTATGCACATATCCAGCCCAAAAACATCCAGTAGGTTTCTTTACATCTGTTTACTTCAGTAATTGCATTTAAACTTGCTAACTCCCCGTTTCCATCTGTACACAGAGCAGCACATGTTTGTGATTTGAGGTTGCACCCTCCGCATTATTTGTTAAAAGCAAAGAGGTCACAACCAATTAAAATCTTGCTGAGCTAGAAGTGTTTCCACTGCAGAAATTGACTGGCCAGAGACCAACATTTTATTTGCCTCGTTTGAGATCTAAAGATGTCTTAAAACAAGGCGACTATCAAGTTTAGCATCTTTACCTAATAAAACAAACAGCTTCGTGCCACTGCATGTCCTGCATACAGAAAACTACTTAAGACTATTTATAGGTAAACAACGCCTGAATGAAGAGTTTTTTAATGATAATGCATAAAGCATGGTTTTAAATATTCATACTAACAGTCATGAGAAGTTCTCGAGTGTGCAGATATTTTTTTTTAAATAGAGGAGATGCAATTATATACAGTATACTGTATATATCATGCAATTTGTATAAAACATGCATTCCCCAAAAGACTATATTGTATGCACACATATGCTGAAAACACAGTTCACAACATGTTTTTTCACAGTGACTCGATTTTACCTGGAAGGTCATCTTGTCCATTCTTCATGGTTGGGCACACCGTGTCGCCATCTAATCTGTTCAAATCCAACTCTGAAAAATTCATAAGCGACATGAGTGTCATTTCAGGCCTGTCTGCAGCGACATATCACCAGAGAATATGCTCAGATTGTTAAAAGCGTGACATTCACCCACCTCATAACAGAAGACAAATTGTACCACAAACACATATCTTTTACAACAACAACAAGAATGTCTAGCACACTTAGTGATAGCATACAGCAAATTATTTTTTAATTATTAATTTAAAACGATTATATATAT